AGGCCACGCTTCCATCTTGGCTAAGATCCTATTAGAAAGGATCATTCCTACCCGGGGAATTCCCTCTACCTCCCACGTCTGAACTTCCAGCAATTGAGGAACCCACTTTACTGGTCAGGTGCTTCAACAAATTTGTGCTGTTTGACCACTTTTGCAACATTTTCACTGTGCCTACCACCCTTGATTTTCAGAACCAGTTGAATTACTAATTCATCATTAAGACTGAATTAGCAAAATTTGTAAGACCCCTTGAAATATCCTGGCCAAAAGCACTGACTTTGGTTCTTCTGAATCTCAGATCCACCCCTTTTGAAACTGGAAAACTCCCTTTTTGGGATAATCACAATATGCCCAAAGTACCTAGCTAGCTCCTGCTTCCTTTGAGCCACAGCTGATAAAGGGACATATACTTCAATTTTGCTAAGGTCTAATAAAATCCTAAGAGAACGAGCATACTTGGTAGAACAATCTTTCCACAGTGCTCCCAGGAGACAAAACCATTAGACATCATCATAACCTGCAGCCTGGAGACTTCATCTCCTAGAAAAGACACTTTCAGCAAGAGTCCCTCCAACCTTGCGGTCAGAAGGGACCTTACCAGGAATTGAAGCAAATGACAGCCAAGGCAGATGACTTTCCCAAATGATTGGGCTAGGCATGTACACTTTTTTCTTGCTATTGCTTCTCGCCTTTTTTCTTTCTCTCCTTCTTGGAAAGACAATGCTCTTGTTTCCTTTTTCCAATCTATTGCAAAAGGCAAATCATTCTGACAGCTGCATCTATCGCCAGAAACTCTAATCTATTCAAAATGTCAGAGACCCCTTGGTCTTACCTGTCATCAATTTCTCCTTAGTATCAAATACCACTACTGATTAAACCCACAAACTTGTGCATGTTACCTAGGGGGTTAGGTTATTATAGTCAGGTGTTCCCATACTTACCCCAGTCATAACTATGTTAGCTCAGCTAGACACTTCTACCTTTGCCAATCATACAACCTTTATTTCCTCCCAAACCACATCTTTTCCTTACTTAAATATGATCATTTGCCTGTACTCAAGGGTAATACAAATGGGCTAACTCCTCTTTGCAAGGCTTTTAGAAAAGACAGCTTTAGGATGGGATGGCACTTTACAGAATGTCATCCTAATTTCTCTGACCTCTGGCTTGAAAATTTCAATCAGGAAATTCCAGTTAATGTATCTACTAATAACGAGACCTTAACTGAAGTCCTCTATGCTCCACCTGGTTTCAGTTTTGTCTGCAATGCATGGCATTTTCATGGGCATATGAATGTTTAGATAGCTGGTGAACTGGAGACCAGTGCTTATTGGGACATTTAACCATCCCTGTTAACATGCATAACAAATCAGAAGCCTCTCATTGGTCCACCCATTGAGCCTCTGTGGCTGCCTTAAATGAACTTCCAAGAGGCATCAAGACTCGATAGGGAGAGGTTTTCTTCCTCGGGTTAGAGTAACTACCAATGAGCTCTAATACTAGGAGAGCTAGCCAATTCCACACCAAAGCAGTAGCAGCCCAACACTCATCATTTGACTCATCGGCTAAGATAGTTTGGGACAATTGCATAGCCCCTGACTACTTGCTGAACAAGGAGGCATTTGTGCAACAGCAAACACCACCTGTTGCACCTGGATAAATGCCTCTAGAGAGATAGAAACTCAATTACACAAGATCAGGGAACAAGCACACTGGTTACAACAAATTTCACCTGATCTTCCCAGTCCTTTGACGTGTTCAGTTGGCAAGCTTCAGATTTGGGTCATGGTTAAGAACCATTATACATACTGGATTTGTCATGTTACTTTTAATTTTATTTCATATTATTATTTTTAAACTTGCTGCTTGTCAAGTCTCTACAGAAGTGATGCACCAAATAGAATAATGTAGCTCAATACTTTAAGATGATTTCCAAAGCTTACAATCTAGACAAGATACAACCTTAGGAGTGGAAAATACCTGAGAGCTCCTTCTCCTACTTTCTTTGTTGCACAAATGTGGCTCCTGTGGTTTCCATCACCTCAAGGTCTCCCCGCAGCCTGGGACAGGAATACCAGGAAAGGTCCCCTCTGCCACTGAGGGACACAGACAGAAAAAAATGTTTAATTAATAAGTAAATAACCAACCAAATGCTTGAGTAGCGATGCTTTCAAGGAAAGATCTTGATCAAAAGAGGGAAATTGGAAAATGAATAAAGGAAACCTAATTCAAAATGGAGAAGGGACTCAATGAAGGGAGGATTTTCACTCAGGTACCACTCTTGGCAGCTTACCTTACATACTTCAGCAGGAAGAAATGTACTTTACATACCCCAGCAAGAAGAAGGAAGATTTTCCTCTTGCTTGGCAACAGCTCAGCCAATGAGAAGATGTCACAACATCAAATTCTTGCTCTTCTTGCTCCCAACCTCTTCCTTTCTTCTTAAAAATTGCTTTCTTCTTCAGACTTCCCTATGGTTCACCATAGTTTGCAACTCCTCTGTTCTTCCTGAAAAAACTCAATTTTGCCGGCTACACTGCTTACTTTTTTCTTTTAATGATTGACAGTAGTCCTGAATGGGAAGGCAACTTTGTAAATATGTCAGTTATCCTCCCAATTAATCTATTAATTGAATACATTTCTGACCAAAATCTTTTAAAAAAATTGCAATGCAGTTTGACAAATTAATCCTTTAAAAAAACATTTTTAGGGGACACCTGGGTGGCTCAGTGGGTTAAGCCTCTGCCTTTGCCTCAGGTCATGGTCTCAGGGTCCTGGGATGGAGCCCCGCATCGGGCTCTCTGCTCTCCGGGGAGCCTGCTTCCTCCTCTCTCAGCCTGCCTCTCTCCCTACTTGTGATCTCTGTCTGTCAAATAAATAAATAAAATCTTTTAAAAAAATTTTTGGCAAGGAACTTTGCAAATGTATTCAAAACTAGAATAATAGTTTAATGTAACCATCACCAAGCTTCAATAATTACCAACACGTGGTCAATTTTGGACAGTCAACTTTTAAATTCATCTAAAGGTAGTCATGAAAAATTTTGAAAAGACAAAAAAGGACAAATTTTCTCTTACTTTTATCTAATAGAGCTCTTGTAGAGAGGCCTTAAATGGACTTATGCTTTTGAGGAAATTTAGAACGTGGTAAAGGTACAGTTTCAAATCAGTGTGTAAAGGATGACTTAAAAATTAAAAATTAATAAATACTGTTGGGTCGGTTGACTACCCAATTGGGAAAAATTGAAGTTAATTAATTTACAAGACTTCAAAAATAAATCTCAGATGGAGCAAGGACCTAAATATAAAAACTAAGCCTATAAGAAGATTAGAAAATTTATAAGGAATAGATACAAAATCTTAGTGTGAGGGTGCTCCCAAATCATACGAAAATAATAGATTTGATTGCAAGAAAATTTTGAACTTCCTCAGGGTGAAACAAAGTTAAAAGACAGTGACAGAGAGAAATATATGCCACACAGACCAAGGAATGTACAAAGACACGGTTATATGAAATAGGTGGAGCGTTTAAGAATATAAAGTAGTTTACTGTCACCCAAGTATACCGAGCATGGCTTCCCATGTCAAGCCCCAGAAATAGGTTAGATGATGGAATTCGGGTAGTTATTTTCTTCCGCATGTTTTCCTGGAATTTTCCATTTTTTACAATGATCACGTGTTTCATTTATAACGTAAAAATTTAAAAAAAATCTTTAATAACTAAAAATTCTGGCCTGCCTTACATTGTTCCCTGTTTAGGGCATTCATATATTGCCAGCTTTGTGCTAGCTTTATGACAAGGAGGCGCCGGGGTTTTTTCTTCCTTTGTGTCACCACGAAACCTATTACAGAAATGAATCCTTATAGATAGTGAAAAAGAAATGCTCAGGGATTGGCTAAAACAATGTCGCTGTAGGAGATCTGTGTGCCAAATATGAGCAGCTAACCCTTCCTCATTACACATTTCTCCCTAACCTCTATATCAGTTCCATTCGCATAAGTCACTCCATCAGGCCGGTACAATGACACGCAAGAATTCATTCCAGGTGCGCGCGTCAGCGTGACTCCTGCGTCTCCAGGTCTGAAGCTCGCCTGGGAACGCCCCCTCCCCGCCCCGTCGCTTGTTGTGTTGTCATCACGTGGCCGGAGCGGACCCTGACGTCAGGGTGGGGGAGGGATTGCGCAGGCGCAGAAAAGGGGGCGGGGGACTCGGCTTGTTGTGTTGCTGCCGGAGAACCAGAGACGGTCCTGCTGCGGCCGCAAGCCCTTCCAGCCACCTGACAATGTCGTCTCATTTAGTAGAGCAGCCGCCGCCCCCGCACAACAACAACAACAACTGCGAGGAAGGTGAACAACCTTTGCCCCCGCCAGCCGGCCTCAACAGTGAGTGCTGGGCCAGTGGGCTCCGCGAAGAGGGTGGGGGGGGGGCGGGGGAGGAGCTGCTCCGGCCGCTGCCGCCAGCTCTGCGCGGGGGGCGGGAGGAGAAGGCAGTCCATTGGCCGAGGCGGAGGATGTGCGGGTGACTGACAGCTCCCGTCACCTGTCAGGAGGAGTGGCTCCTGTCTTCCTGTGGCCCGTCTCCCCTCCGTCCTGGTCTCGGTCGGAGGGCTGCTTGGGCTTGCAGTTGGGGAGGGCTGGTGGGTGGGAGGAGAAGGGGGCGAGCCGATCCCACCTGCTGTGGGCCCCCCTAGTGTAGCCAATCGGAACGCGGAGGGGCGGGCCTTGGGGGCGCGGAGAGCGCGGTGGGCGGAGCGGGCGGCGGAGGGGACGTGGGCAGGGATGGGGACGTGCAGCTGGGACGCCAGGGGATGGACGCGGGCGGCGGGCCGAGGGGAGGGGGCGGCGGGAGGACGCGCGGGCGGTCAGGTGTGCGGCGGGGCTCGCGCCTGGCCCGGTTGACCCCAGCTCTCTGGGTCGGCCTCCCCTTAGGGCTCGGAATGTAAGCCCTCCAGTTCCCTTCCTTTGTTACCACAGGCTGGTCAGGAAAATCATTTGGTAATTTAGTGGTTACTTGTTTGACGTTGGGGGTGGGGGTGAGGAGGCTGTGCTACTTTTTTTCGTGTTTTGTTTTGTTAATTTTTTTTTTTATGAGAGTTGGCCCAAGTGAGTTTTTTGGTTTTGGTTTTTAAACGATGGGGCTGTGTGCCCTGAAAACCTTTTGTGAACAGCCTCTTGAAGATTATGCAAGATTGCATAAATTATGGAATCTGGGGCAATAAATGTTCAGAAACGGGATTAAAACCACACTGATAGAGTCGGGCGCTTGGAAGTTAATGTGCAATATTTGAGTTACGACCAGCTACAATTGCTTATCAATACATTCTGGTGCTCAGACATCTTGTCTTAAGGTTTTTCCCAGTTGTCTTGAAAGCTCAGTTTTCTTGGAAAGCTCGTTGCCCAACCTTTCTGTAATTGATCTCATGAAAGAGGCAGATGGGACAGTTTGCATATGGCCAGATGAAATCGTTTAAAAATCATTTGGATGCTTAAATGACATTCAAAGGCATTGCAATCTCTTTCATAAGAGGGAGGTGTTCCAACGTGGCCTAAAAATTATTTTAGGGAAAAGAGTTCCTCCCTACAAGATGGGGATAGAATTTGAGTATTTTAAGATATTTTCATTGCTTATTGCTGCTGTTCCATCTTTTGATGGATAAATTTTTCTTAAATGTTGAGTTTTTGAAACTCAAGTGTTTTACGTTCTGGAATTTAAGATTTATATGTTATTTCCCACAGAAAGGATTAATTTATGTGTCTTTAAACATTTGCTTCATGTATTTAATGTGCACTTAAAACACTGCTTACCATTTTTAGCATACTGTTTTAGAAGCATGGAGTTTTAGAATGGGAAGACACTTTAGAGCTTACTGTCTCTGTTATTTACCGGTAAAGAGAGCAAGAGTAAAGTATGTCGTCTCAAGTTCACAACAGGCTAGGACTTAGGGCTGAGATTTTTTACTTTCTGATAGTAGCCCAGAATCACCTGGTAATGTGTGTTTCCTATTTTCCCAGTAGGTTATTCTAACTGATGTACAGAGGTGACCTGCCTATCTAGCTTTCTTTAGTGTACTGTTTCTTGATTGTACTCACCATTTTCCTGCAGTACTCTCAAGTTGGCTGTTTGGTTAGTATGCATACATAATTTCACAGGAAAAAAGGAGTTTTAGTTTCCTTTGACCATTTAACAAAAACAACAAATGGGGTCGAGTTGTCTGTGATTGTTTATCTCTGTGTCTGATAGACATAAGAGGTATTTGATGTTTTTGGTCATTGAGTTGCTGCTACGTTTATATTAACCCTAACAGAAGTGGAAGAACACTTCGTCTGTGTGTGATACCAAAATGTTGGCTTTGGGAAGTCTGCTAGATAGAAAATACTTTTTTTGAGTAGGGTGAGCTTTGAAAAGTTACTGAAAACCTTTTAGCTAGTGCCATATTTAATTTCTCCCCTCTTGTCTTTTATTTTGTGTTTTCAGTTCATTATACAACAGTGGTTTAAACAAAACAAGAAGCCTTACTGATTCCTTCAAGTGATTTTTGGGCGCTAGGTAAAACAACTTATTCAGATATCTAATACTTCCCAAATTGCTGATAAGTTGAAATTCTTTGCAAAGTTGCATAACTATGAAACACAGGAGATGAAATCATTGTACAGATTATCTGTGGTTTGGGATTTTTCTTCAGTTCAGGGGTCAAGACAGTTTTAACAGCAAATTATTGAAATATTTGGAATAATGAAACCTTTCTCTGACTTTTTTTTTAGTTTACCATCGGGAAACTATTCATTTTCCTTACAAAATCAGTAGATAAATATCTGAACTACTGGCAAAGTTAAAACAACATTTTTCCAGTTTCCAGTTTCAGTTTTATTCTTAAGAAAATTAACAAGTTACGTAAGAATATCTGTATACATTTATGCTATATAAGTTGGTAGGTAATATAAGAAAATCTTGTTACTATTTAATGTAGGAAGGATAGCCTTTCTTTTTCTTCTTCCTTTTTTTTTTTTTTTTTCCCTGTTTTAAACATCTTCAGCTGTGATGTACTTGCTCCCCCAGTATGGTGAGAAGGCTTTTAAGGCTATGGCATGTGAGACTTCACTGCTTCATGATACTGTTTTGAATACATAAGTAACTGGTGTGTAAGTATCCACTTGTGGAAAATGACCAACTTTTTTTTTTTTAAGATTTTATTTATTTATTTGACACAGAGAGATCACAAGTAGGCAGAGGGGCAGGCAGAGTGAGAGGGGGGAAGCAGGCTCGACGCTGAGCAGAGAGCCCAATGTGGGGCTTGATCCCCGGACCCTAGGATCATGACCTGAGCCAAAGGCAGAGGCTTTAGCCCACTGAGCTACCCAGGCGCCCCAACTTTTTTTTTTTTTTTTTTAAGAAGAATTTTGGTGACTCTTCTTGGTCTGGATTCCAGCATCCAGTACTTAATAAAATAAAGGCTTTAAGGAAAGAACATCAAACATAATGGAATGTGTTACCCCTGGTTAGGATAAGGGTTATACATGGGACCTTGGAAAGTTGTGGGACAAGAGGAGAACTATTCTTCTTCCTTCTCTCCCTTCCTCTACCCCTCAGCTCTCCCACTCCCTCCTCCTCCACAATTACTGGGCCAACCTTCACAATATACTATATTACAAAATGTAGAAGTGTGAATCTCTTAGGAATTCTCAGACACTTAAAATATATCTCATGTATTGTGTATGTGTAGAGTCTGGCATAAGAGAGGATTTTTCAGTTTTAAGTAGTGTTTTACTATAGTGGGGAGAGCCTGTAGTTTTTAATTTTAAAGTCTGATTATTAGGAAGAGAATTCACTCAGATTTTTTTCTACTTTGTATTGCTTGGACAGCACAATCCTCATATCTTGTCTTATTTCCTTTCCAAGGAGAAGGGGACTTTGTGAGAATTGGTGGAGTTAGAACATCAAGAAATTCTGAGGCTGTAAATCAGGAATGAACTAGGTAATGAAAAGCATGTGTAGTAGTACATCCATTGAGAAAGACAAGCTTATTTTTTCCCATCTTAGTCAAAAAATGAAGGTTTTAATAGTTGGTGTGCATAACTTTTTGTGCAATGCTGTTTATGTCCATAGATACCTATCTGGAAGATAATTATTAAGGGAAGTCTACCTTTTTAGGTGTCTTAACGCACATTGTCAGATTATCATTTATTGAAGACCTGATTATAAATAACATGATATTAGAAACAATTTGGGTAATGGTTAACCTTGACATTTGGATAATGGTTAAAGTATGGTATGAGATGAGATACAAAGCAGTTGTTTTGAAGTAAGGTAATATACATTGACATTGAAAGACCTCTATCTGTAAGCTGTTAGGTAAGAAATGCTTCTTACAGGGCCCCTGGGTGGCTCAGTGGATTAGGCGTCTGCCTTTGGCTCTGGTCATGATCTCAGGGTCCTGGGGTCAAGCCCTGTATCAGGCTCTCTGCTGGGTGGGGAGTCTGCTTCTCCTTCTGCCCTTCCCCCTGTTCATGCTGGCACTCTCTCTCTCTCAAATAGATAAAATCTTTTAAAAAAGAAAAGAAAGAAACGCTTCTTAGAGAAAAATATGTATAGTACAATTCAGTTTTTCTGTAAAAACAAAACCAAAAAACAGCACTGTATTTCATTAAAAAAGCTCTAGAAGTTGACATAGGAACCTTTGAAAAGTAGCCTTTAGTAATAGGAATGGGAGCTTGGGAGGAGAGGTGTTTTTACTTTATATGTTTATTTTTAAGAAACACATTTTTGCAATAAGATATATTCTTAAAAGATACAGAATATAATTACAGTAGTGGCTAACACATAGCACTTTCCATATACTAGTGACCTTCTTTATTTTTCTCCATGCTTTATTCATTTCAACCTTCTAACAATCCTATGAGGTAGATGTAATTATTATCCCCAGTTTACAGATGATAAAACTGTTAGGGGGTTAAGTAACCTGTCTAGGGTGTAACAGCTGTAAGTGTTAGAGTGGGAGTCTGCCTTCACTCTCTGCTCTTAACCACCATATTAGTATATGCCAGATAAATACTGTCTGCCTTAAGTAGAAATGACTTCAGTTATGCTGGGTATGAAGTTAATCACAGAGATCAGTTTTACTAAGTTTTTCCAGGTATGTCTTCTTAAGTTCCTAGGTTATGATTGCTCATGCGTTTTTAATGCAGAAAGTAGAATTTAGATATTGGTTTGGAAGTCCTTCAAAAAAAGTAAGGTCTGGAAAAGCTAATACTGCTACAGCACTTTTTACTTTGATCAGCTACTTGAAGTGAACATTAACTATATTTAAGTGAAGACTGGCTTCCACAGAGACCCATGATGAACTCTTGATTGCTTAGTTTTTCTCCTACCAGAGCAGCTCAGGTCTTTTGGTTGTTTTGTTTATTTTACACTTCAGTCTTCTATACAAGAAGAATGGATTCTGTTGGTTTAAAATAAGTTTGACAATCCTAGAAAACAGTATGAGTAGAAAAAAAAATTTATCATATACCTCTTTCTTTTTCTGTCTCTTTCTGTTAAAATACTTTGCTGAACTCTAAATTTAGGGATGCTTTGGCATATTTCTCATATACTCCAGAGGCACTCGAAGTATTTAGTTAAATTACCTTTAGTTAGTGTTAAATCTGTCTTAGCTTTGCTAGTTGAACTTGTTAATCCATTTTGAGTTCTGTCTAGTCTGTGCCCATTTTTGTGTATAGAATGAGGTCACAGAGATGTCTTGCAACTGTGTTGTTTGGCAGTACAGTCCCAAAGATTTGGCGGTGGTTATGGGACTGTGACTGCCTTAGAAGGAAAGGACGGAAAGGGTAACTTCATTTTCATTTAGTCAACGCTGTTCTAAGTACTTGACAAATGTAAGCTCTTTTAACTAGTGGATAGCTGAATGAATATCTCCACCTACTGGGTACTTTACCTGTGTCCTGTGTTTAATCCTCAGAGCTGCTCTTAGGGATCTGTATTTTTGTATCCCTGTTTTACAGAGAATACTGAAGCTCAGAAAGACAGGCAAAGACTAGGTGGTAAAGTCCGTTTTCCACTCAGATCTGCCTTTGAGCTTTTCCTTCCAGTAAGGATGATGTTGAGTTTACTTTGGATCTAGAATAGTCCTCACCTCACTGAGAGTGCATTTTAGGGTTTGAGCCTCTTTTGGTGGTGGTTCTGATTTACTGATGGAAGACTCTTCGGCCATAGAACTCTAATGCTTCTGCTGAGAGTTTGGAGGAATGGCCCTATCAATCTGCTTGGTTATATTTTATAAAATAGAATTTATTATACAGAATAGAAATTAGGAAGAAAATTCAGCAGTGTTTCTTTTTGTTGTGAATTGGCTGCTGTTACCAATTCTTACTAAGATTAAAGCACTGTAATGTGTTCAGCAGACTCACTGAGCCAATAAATAAATATTTTCAAGAGCTATCCAGATTACCAGGGCCACGTCCGCTTTCCTGTGGCTCCACCCTCTTTGACTGTTGGCCTGAGAAAACTTCGGTGTCTCCTGTACAGATGCGCAGTTTCTCCCCTAAAACCAACAAGGCTTTGTGAAACTCTCGGAAATAGGAAGTGGTGGGAGAGAAGAAAGGACAAGTCCACGAGGTATGGTTAGTGCATAGGGAGAGGATAGAAAGAGGTGAGGTATAAAGGAAAGGAATAAACTAATTTGTGGGGTAGAAAGAAAGCTTTTTTCAGATTTTTTTTAGTATTGTCACCCGATTTAATTAGAGCTGTGTGCATTAATTTTATGTTGCACGTTTATACACAAATTGAAAATTTTATGATTGGATTTAAGTTCTCTAGAAGCTTCTAATTGTGCTGATTAGGACAGTTGTTAACTTATTTAGATGACTTCTGAGAAGTTTCCAAGCCGTAGGTTTACTTCATCTGTGGGGAGGACACAACTAAGTAGCTGCAGTAGACTATGGGGAAATATGCATAAATATGTTCTGTTAAACATATGTAATTAAAATAGTAAAGATAAGTAGTAATAAAGTAGCCACTTATTTTTTGAAAAGCAATCTCAGAGTTTTCCGTAAGTGCTTATCATATATAAACTAAGCTTTAACTAGAGAGAAAATTGGCTAAAAGATGCATTTTCTAAGATACTAGTTGTAGAGTTCCAGCTTCTTCTAAATTGGTTGATTGCATGAGCTACTTCAGGAACAGGAACTATATATATTTTTAGACTTCTGTTGCTCCTTATTTATTTTCTTCAGAATACTCTTGCATTTGCTTTGAGGCCAGACCGAATTCTTATCAGAATTCACCACATTCACATCTGTGTGCACATGACAGAGTTTGGTTCTGCTGTGGTTAACTTAAGCTATCTGACTTGTCCAACAGGTTCCTGGGTGGAGCTACCCATGAACAGCAGCAATGGCAATGATAATGGCAATGGGAAAAATGGGGGACTAGAACATGTACCATCCTCATCCTCTATCCACAATGGAGACATGGAGAAGATTCTTTTGGATGCACAACACGAATCAGGACAGAGTAGTTCAAGAGCCAGTTCTCACTGTGACAGGTAAGTAAGATCCATACAGATGGGTTACAAGGTTAATTCCCATTAGAAAAAAATAATAAATTTACTTTCATTTTCATTTTACAGAATACAACTCTTGGTTTATCACAGCATGTGTATTTAAATCAGATAGCTAATTGACAAATATTTGAGTACCTGGTGTTTTTCACTGGATTAAATCAATTTCCTTGTTCAGATTGTATCATTTCTTGATGTTTATCAGTTTTAAAGTCAATGCCATAAATGTTTACTTGTAGTATTAAACTTTCTCCCATTTTCCATTGTGTCCTGTTGAACAGATCACATTCTGCGAGTTACGTATCTATCCCCCCTTCTGGACTGTGAGGCTCCAAAAGGCAGGAGTCATGTTTCATCTCCTTTGTACCCTTGACAGTCGTCATGCTGGTGTGCAGTAACACTCAGTAAACGTTTGGGCCCTAGAAACTGCAGGTTGATTCAAGTTATAGTGGTATTTGCATCGTTGGAAACACCAACCAAGGTCTGCAAAGATAGTTAATTTGGAAGGCCATTCTGGGTCTTCAGAGGAGCTTCTATTTCATACCTTCATTTTTCTACATTGGCCTTTGGGAAAGTAATTCCACTGTTGAAGGGCTGTTTTTGGTGAAAGAGTAAGGATACAGT